CCCAGGCAGCAAGGCTGCCTGGGGAATTCTGGGAGTTAAAGTCCACACAGCTTAAAGCTGCCAAGGTTGAGAAACACGGTTCTAGAGTCATAGGCAAAAAGGAAGTGCGTATAGGTAAGGGCCCTGAATTCGCTACTCAGCCAGCATAAAAGACAAGTTGGCTGGAAAAAGGGATGGAAAACCCTCTGTGTTCAGGATGGAAATACAACAGGTTGAAGCAGGATGGATTCTTTGTTTATCAGCAAGAGACTAATTTTTTTTTCCCCAACAAGTTAATGTGTTGCTCAAGTCTCAAGACTCATCTGAGCAAGTACATCTTAAATTACCCTCCTGGCTTAGCTTAGCTACATACGTGTTCATTAGTAAATGCAATTCCTAAGTATATCTATCTATATAGGATTAATACCTTAGCAGTTGGCAGGAGTTGTTCAAGTACCTGGCAGCCATTTTTTGTAACTCTTGACATTACATGCTTTTTTATGTTTGACTGTTTTAGATTGTTAGGGAGCTTTTAACTGTTGTTATGTTGTACACTGCCCAGAGTCATGTTTTTGTGAGATGGGCGGCTGTATAAATATGCTTAATAATTAAATGAATAAATTCCTTCTTATTTTCAAATCTTTGCAGTGGGTGTGCTGATTGCAACAATGGCAGTACCGTTTGTGGAAGACTGGGACTTAGTGCAGACTCTTGGAGAAGGGGCATACGGAGAGTAAGTAGCTCATGTGAACGCAGAAAACATTGAGCTGTTGAAACCAAAATAAAGCCTGTGGAAAAAGGGTGAGCCGCAAATGGTAGTTGATGATATTGAGGAGTTGCAGAAGAGAAAAATCATGCTGATTTAAGTTAGGGGGTCCTGTTTTCGGTAGAAGAAAGTGGGTGGTGGGCAAATTGAATTAAATTGAACTTAATTAAGAGATGAAGTGGACGAATCTTTAACAGATAAGGATAGAAAGCTTCTCTGTAACCCTGTTTTGGTCTCCTCTTCAGAGTTCAACTAGCTGTGAATAGGCGCACCGAGGAAGCGGTTGCGGTGAAAATGGTTGACATCAAATGTGCAGTTGAATGTCCGGATCAGATCAGGAAGGAGATCTGCATCAACAAAATGTTGAATCATGAGAATATTGTGAAGTTCTACGGGCACCGACGAGAAGGCACTATTCAGTATCTCTTCCTGGAATACTGCAGTGGGGGCGAGCTCTTTGACCGAATAGGTACAGGAGAATTTGTAGGGGGACAGACTGGGCTTTCGTGCAATCTAGAGTGACAGTGTTATTTTACTACTGGGGACCCTTGGTGAATTTCTCCGTAGATCTAAGAAAGATACTCCAAACTGGTTGGATTATTTTAGTTCAATTTGATTAATTTTCCACTTTTTCACAGTGGGGCAATTTATAAGACCCAGTTTATATGCTTCACCATGGTTTGATTGTTTGCTGAATAAACCACTCTTGGTTGGATTCACACAACATACTAAGACCAAACCAAACAGATTTCATTATGCCTGAATGCAGTGCATGAACCTTGTTAGAAAATACCAGATACTGCAAGCCAGCATTCTGAAATCAAGCCAGTTCTGCCATGCTGGGCCCGCAAGCCGGTTGGAGAAAAGGCATCACCAGTTGCAGAGTAGTTAGTCTTTTTCAATGTGTTGCTTATTTTGTGCGATATATGCTTGGGTTGGGACAATTTTAAAATGAAAATGCAGAAGATTTAAAAGAATTGCAATATTAAACTGCCTCTCCAATTAGGACATAGTTTAAATGCAGCTAGGTTTGGCTGCCTTATCCTTCCAGGGTTATTTAAATGTATCTAGATCAGGGTTCCTCAACCTTGGCAACTTTAAGACGGGTGGACTTCAATTCCC